ATCTTTTTATGTTGGTGGGCGGTAATGCTATATATTTTGAGATCTATTCCACTGTCTTCGAAGATTTGTGCATTCTATGCGCTTGTATTGTCAGCTTATTCGAAAAAGTAAAACTTCATCAAAACATGCTTATCGAGCAGCCCCTAGTTCTTTGTGATTTTTCTGTATTTTTAACAATCATAAACTTGCTACTGAAAAATCCGTCAGTAGCGTCATGAATTTTTGTTTACGAGTTGGAAGTACACATTCCGTTTTGGTCCTGCTTGCAGATTTACGATCTATGTCGAGTGAATCTCATCAAATGGGCAGTGATGGCCGTGGAACGTTACACAACACCGCAACAAGCGGCACAAATGATAGTTGATTGTTCTTTCTTATCCCCGAAGATGATTGAGCCTTTGTCTGCGGCTTTGTTGGTTAGTCTCCTACCTAGTTGACGTACATTCACTTATTTCACTATCATTTTCAAGATTTAATGCAAGCTTTTCATTCATTTGTATGTTGTTAATTGTTCTAGATCCGATTTTATGAAGTTATCACATATATCAGAAATATATTGATTAGTGTCCGAATGATCGAACGAAGTTATCCGGGGAACATTCAGCCGGTTGCACTTTTGGGGTCAACCATCAGCCGTGTGTATTGAATACTCTTATCTAAAAATACTCTCGAAATTGTACGCTTTATATGCTCTCAGCTAATCCCTGTGGTACTAGGAGCTTGAGAATGTTGTATTTTTCGTGTACAATAAAGCCCACCAGGGAAGTTCGCATCACTGCACCTCACTCAGTGAACTGTGTTAGACGGTGTATATTCGCAAACATCCCAAGAGATGCTGGTTTTTAAATTGTCACCTTAGTTGATGATGAAACCGTTGCAACTTTCATCATCACTCTCGGTGAGCAGCCGAGCGTCGATCTGTTTTGATTAGTTGGACCGAAACATTCACGTTTATATTTTTCCGGCTAACACAGTAAGCCCCAATCAACGAAAGTTAGTCTTAGGACCAATTGTGAAATTGCATTTAGCAAAAGGAAATACTTACTGATAATGTTCACAGCTCTGTTTTAACAGAAATCCTGATCGCATCCTTCAGAACCAATAGTAATTTATACTTGTATGAATTCATGTAGACAGGACTTTACAACGAAGCCCACTCGTATGTCCTCACAACGCAAAGCGCAACACACGCAGTGCACTCAATGTGGTGCTGCGACCGTCGAATTGTCCCGTTATTCATTCGGGATTTGAGGCACGCCACCTGACAGCACTCGACAAATGATAATGCAGATGTTTGTTTCCTTTCGGCTTGCCGCGTCAATGAAACTTGAGCCTTGAGTGGTTTCCCACCCTGATTCCCAGCAGTTATGAGACCGATCTCCTTAGTCATACTAAGGTGCAATCCATTCCACGGACACTAAACGCTGCCATTTCGGTTGTTGTTGAAGCACAAGGAAGACTGGGAAAGGCAATACAAAACAATCGCATTCGAGGTAGCAACATTTACATTTTTACCAAATCTTTTTGGTAGTTTTTTGTGTGTACCTCGGACAGCGGTTAACCTTACTCTATGGTGCTGCTGTTTTCATCGCTGTCCGATAGCGCCAATTATTGTTGTTGTTATTGTTACTATTGTTATTGATTCATTATCCTAAAACCGGGCCCAATATCAACACTTATTGAACATTTTTGAGGGTGTTCATCCATGGAGGTGGTTTTGAGTTATTAGACTGATTGACCCGATGTTTTCATTTGGTTTCCAGCTACAGAGTCTAAATTACTTCCCCTCGGTATTTCTAGTCCATAATTTTTTCGAGTTGGGAATATGTCGTTGGAAGTTTAACCCTTTGGATCCAAGTATTCGTTGTAAGTTCGTTGTAAGTTTATCCACATCGGTTAGCGTCTGGCATGTGCTGGCTCCATCGGTAAGCTCCTTTTTGCTGGTTTTTGTACTACAGCTTCCTACCTTTCTATGATCCACCTACATGATCGAATGCCCGTTAAACCGTCATCAGTTGTAGGCAGCGAGGAGAACCTCTTCAATCGATGCACATCGTGAAATGAACTTGGAGTAACATTTATCTCCTGACTAACTAGAGCATTTTCAGAGAAATCAAAATGATATTCTAACTCAGATACAGAATTTTCCGTGTCCCAGTGTCTTTTCCAAGGGATGAAGGGGTGATAACATCAATTACGTATTCATCGATCAGGCTTAATTTCAATGGTTGTTTTCAACTTTGAACAGTTTGAAGAATCAACGGAAGTAGTTGAGACAGCGCGGGAAATAATGGATAAGCTGCGAACTAACTTGGTCATACTTCTCACATGGCTTTCCACAACTGACCGGTTCCCAACAACTGCCTACGGCCCGGGTGCACTTAAGGCGGAACTGCGC